CTAGCCTGTCCTTGAACACCCGCACCGATGGGGCCTCAACGACCTCCTGTGGAAGCCCATTCCATACTCCAGGGGTCCTGACTGTCAGGAAGTGCTTCCTGGCATGCAAACGAAACCTTGGCTCCCTGAGCTTTGCTCCGTTGGAGCGCGTTCTGCCTTCCTCTGCAGGGGAGAACAGGTCTCTACCCATCTCCATGTGACATCCCCTCTCATACCTGGATGTCGCCAACAGATCCCCTCTGAGTCTCCAGGCTGAAGAGACCCAGTTCCCTCAGTCTCGCCTCATACGGCATCCCCTGCAAACCGGCCACCAACCTTGTGGCCCTGCGCTGCACTGACTCCAACCTGGCTATATCCTACCAGTAACGAGGGGCCCAGAACTGAACACAAGACTCCAGTTCTGGGCGCACCAGAGTCGTACAGAGTGGTAGTAATACCTCTCTTGATCTAGAAGCCACACTTCTGGCTATGCAACCAAGGGTGGCGTTCACCCTCTTGACCACCGCATCACACGGCTGACTCCTGTTTAGCCTGCAGTCAACCAGCACCCCGAGGTCCCTTTCACAAGTGCTGCTCTCCAGCCACTTGTCCCCTAACCTGTGCTTATGACACCTACTCCTATGCCCCAAGTGCAAGACCTTCCACTTATCCACACTGAACGCCATCTGCACTGATGCGTCAGAGCCCACCGGCGGCACCTCTGCTCCGCCGCTTGCTGCTTTCAGCGGCCGTCCCTAGACCGTGGCCGGGGGATGCCAAAAACCGCGGCCTCCCAAGCCCGCGCAAGATCTAGGCGGCCTGCCCGTCTGGCCAGCCCCGTGCCCCGCGATCTCCCGAGCCCACCAGCAACGCCAAGCTGCCAGCGCCGAAGCGGGGGTGCCCTCGAGTGCAGAAACGGCGCGCACCGGCCTCCCGAGCCTGTGGACACGACGAGTTACCCTCCTTCCGGGGTGACTACAGTGGCCTGCGAGGGACAATCCGCTGCGCTTTGCCCAACGCGTTGCCCGGCTGGAACGGGCGCCCTCGTATGGCCCGTACTGTGAACTCCCGATCGCGCTGGCCCAGTTACCATCTGCGCGGGGGATCCGGGGGACCGTCCGGGACCAGCACGGTCCGGGTCCCCTTCGCCCGGCGGAGGCCGCAGCGCTGAACCCGCGGGGGGGGGGTCGCCCGCGGGTCCCTTTACCCGGCGACTTCTCAGCCGGTGGAGCGCGCGTGCCCGCGACCTGCCCGCGGCCTCCCGAGCCCGCCCGCCCGCCCGCCAAGCCGCCGGCGCCGAAGCGGGGGGTGCCCCCCGCCTACCGGCACACTCACCTGCAGGATCCCGATCCCGTCCGCCCGGGGAAGAGCGCGGCCCCGAGACGGGGTGCCGCGGGGACCGCGGACCCAACTCCGGGCCCGCCGCCATGACGACTACGGCGCCCGGCGGCGGCCAATTCCGTGCACGGCGCTTCGCGCATCCCGTGAGCCCTCGCGCGCCTGCAGAGACGCGCCTCGGGCGCCCTCCTGTGGCCGCCGCCGCGCAATGCAGCTGCCGCGTTCGCTGCTGAGCGGGCGCTTCCCGGCGGCGGCTCCGCGCTGCCCCCCTGTGGCCACTCGCCGCCTTGCAGGGCCGCCCGCGGAGCCCTCCCAGCGCCTCGCCTGACAGGGGCTCCCGCCCGTTGCCCCCCCCCCCCCCAGGAAGCGCCGCCCCAGAGGAGCTGCCGCTCTTCGGCATCCTTGAGGCCAGCTCCAAAAGGGGGGTTGCCCACTCCCCCCCCCCCGGGGGTTGGGCCCCCCGGCTCTGGCTTCTTTCCTCACTGAGGTCCAGCAACCCTGGAACAAGGCTCTTCGGATTCCAGGCTCTTGTCCCACGCAGCCTGCCTTCTGCGGCTGGTTGCTTTTTAAAGAATGATTTCATAAACCCCCGAACAACGCAGACACCTCAGCCAACCAATCGAGCTTTATACTTTTTAGTCCTCCGTCCCCTTTTGCTTGAGTCTCCTGTCTTTTCCAGGCTGCGACCTTCCAGGGAGGACCGTCAGGGAAGATGTGTGGGATGAAACGATTATCTGGCCTTATTGTGGCTGCAGTGCAGAATAAATGTTTGAATTAAAATTAAAAATACCTGTGTAAAGAGTCACCACTGCAGCAGTTCACCTTTTCTCCTGTGTGCCCAAGAAAAATCCAGCAAGCAGGTGTCTAGAGGGCAAAAAGCCTGGTTTATTGTATAAAATGCCTGGAAATCACACGCTCATGGAGGGGGATGGTGACAAGGGCAACTGACACCCTCAAAGAAGATGGGGACAGGAATCATTAAATGGCCTGCCCTTCAATGGCACATGCACGCAGCCAATCTGGATTAACAGTGATGGGGGCAGAAGCCGGGGAAGCGAGCGGCTCACCTTGCAGGTCTAAGTCCATGCAGGCCCCTTCTCCTGGCAGACTCCTCCTCACGATGCCGTGCCTATCGCCACCTCCCCTCGCCAAGGTAAGCGCTTCTCCCGCGGACAAAGCGCTGAGGGACGAAGCGTTGCCCACCTGCCCCGTCTCAACCGGTTGGGCTACTCCAGCTTTTCTGGAGGGCGCTGCCAAAGGTAGGTCTGAATGGAGTTGGCGGTTGCTACAGCTTCAATATTCCCCACGTCAGGGTCCACAATCCCAAAAGGTACATCCTGGGCAGACCTGGGGAGGACAAGAAAAAACAGAGGAGGAACAACTTTGCAGGAATCCTCCGGTGCTGCTAAGAACACCAACACATACTTCTGGGCCATTTTAGCAACCGGAAGTTTAACAGGTTCCCGGACGGGCTCCCCAACAGCATCCCAGGTCCTTGAACCACAGTGGTGTGCACTGAAGGGCACTGGTGTGATGGTTAGCGTTAAAAGCCAGTTAGAAATTTTACCAGAGTAACACTGCTTCCAGAAGGACAGGCAAGTGGCAGAATATGGATGACCTAATGACTCTCTCGCTGATTTGTAGTACATCAGCAAAGCAGTATGGCTCCCAGGTACTTAAGAACTGCAACAGTTCTTGAAGGTGGCAATCCATGCACCTCCTTGTCAGATCCACAGACAAGTGCATCCTCTGTCTCTTAAAAAAGTGACTTGATGCTTTAAGACGACTTGTAGCCTGACTTGATGTTCCTTCAAATTGCAACCTTTAAAAACATGTGGGAGAAAAAAAGCTGCCATTGTCCCATCCTCCTTTGAAGATGGAACTTAGAACCTGGGAGGCCACCTGGTCCAACCCTCAAAGTCTGAATGTGTAACCAGGATCAGTGTTCCTAAAATCTCTAGCCGCTGCTCCCACAAGTGCAAAGGAGACCATGCCTTTTCCACCTTCTCTGTGGCACCTGCCCGCTTACCTGTTCAAGACCACAACGGCTGCCGAGCCGTCCGGGCGCAGGAAGGCCAAGAATTCCAGCGTGCTCACTGTGCTGCTATGGATCCCAATTCGCTGTGCTCCCTCTGGGAGGAATTTGCTGCATTAAAACACAGGCACAGAGTTCAAAATAAGGCCATGTTGAAAGACCCTAAGCACCAGCCTCTGAACACAGCTCTCCTGTTATCGTGCCCCCCCCCCCTTAGCAGAGGAACATATTGGAAGGCACCCCGTATTTTAGGGGGCAGAACCTCAGTTCACATGCCCTTCCCTTGGCCACCCCCCCCAATTGCTCATCTTTTTTTCCCAGTTTTTGTGCTGCTTTTTCCCCATTTGAACAAGTGGCAATGTCACTTCTGGCAAGATTTTTGAGCTACTACAGGCGAGAATGTTTGGCACCCTGCCTCATCCATTTTGCCCCCAGAGCTCTGCCTGACCCCTCAGCCTGCCCAAAGCTTTCCTGAAATCGAACTCGGGCCTTGGCAGGCTGAGTGTCTGCACCTTGGGACTGGTCAAGAAGCAGAGAAGGCGAGTTAAGCTCAGCATCTTTCTTTTGGAGGGCGGCTTGTGCTCTTCCCGGGTCCCCCCCCCCCCCCCCCCCCCCCCCCCCCCCCCCCCCCCGTGCCCTCCTCACCTGAAGTGCGCCATGTGGTAGAACATGGGCTGCTTGTAGAAGACGTCCTTGGCCGTGTCCACAATGACCGGGCTGTCCACGTAGTTCCTGCTCCAGTTGGGCCCGCCTTCCATGTTCAGAGCCAAGTTCCAGTCGGTCCAGCCTGTAGCGTAGTTGTTGAGGTTCTGGACAGAGAAAAGGAAGCCAGGAATGGTGAGGAAGAGCACGGCCTGCCTCCTGTCCTCCACTCCTCGCGCAGAAGCGAGCCTGGCCTGGCGGTCGGCTGCCCGGCCCTCGCTGGGTCCGCGGCGGGGCCCTGCCTGGTGCAGCTCCTGGGAAGCAAGGACGGCCTTCATCGCTGCCATGCGCACACTCGGGCAAGATTCCCAGGCGCATGAGAGGTCCGGGGCGCTGGTGGGAACGATGGCTTAGGCTCAGAAGAAGGGGCGTTCGTGTTTGTCGCAGCAGAAGCTCGGAGTTCTCGCTCCGATTCTGGAGTTGTTGAGACTAGAGAGACTCCAGGGGGCCAGCGCTGGATCAGAGCACTTCAAGGAGAAGCACAGAGCCCCCTGCCACTCCTGACAGGGGAAGAAGCCGATGGGAACAGGCTGGGGAGGGCTCCTCGGGAGCTGGGCATGTGCGGTCACTCGCAGAAACTCGATGGGGGGGTGGCAGTGTGCCCACATCCAGCGCACACCTCCCTCCCTCCGCAGACCAGCCCCGAAGGTTCATCGGCAAAGTTTGGGACAATGCCAGTCAGAGCGAGAAGTCAACTTTCTACCTTGAGTGTATTTTTGGAGTTTGTGAATACTTTGTGGGTGTGTGGAAGACAGACTCTTTGAACAACTGCTGGAGGGACAGACTTCGTTGGGAAGGGATGCCTGGCTCACGAGCATCACCCCCATCAAGGGTGCTTCTGAGCATGGGCGGACGACTTTCCAGCGGTCTGCAGTCAGGGCTGTAGCTCAATGTGACCGCAAGGGTCACCGGCCTCACATCCGGCCCCACAGGGGTTCCTAAGTGGGGAAAAGGGGGCGCAACACTAGGTGCCAGCCCGCACCCGCTCCCCGGCCAGGCGTACCGTGATGATGCTGTAACTGTACTTGTTGCCGCGTTCCCAGGACCCCAGCGCCACCCAGTGCTCGAAGATGTATGAGCCTGTGGAGGCCTCTGTGGAGATGATGTAGTAGCTGGGGAAGCGGCGGTGGGTGATGAGCAGGCTCAGGTCAGTGGGGGCCAGGAAATCCAGGTACCAGTGGACGCCAATCCCATTGACATAACTGGAAGCCACGGGGTCTTTCAGAACCTAGAAGGGGCAGAAATAACAAACAGTGACCAGAGTATGGACCCAGCCTCTGCTTTGGCCTCTCCCCGTCCCCCACAGACATGTTCCTAGACCTCATGGAGGGGAAGCCGGGAGGAAAAGTGGGCCAAAAGCCAGAAATGCCCACATATTGTAGCTTAAAGCTCTTACCATGAGTAACTCAAGCCAGGCAAGGCATTCCAGCCATGCACAAAAGCAAGCAAAGCACCAGTCATTGGTGGTCAGTGAAAGGGGAGTGGCCAAGGGAAGTGGGAGTGGTCAACTGGAGAACCCCAGGCGGGACTCCAGGAAAGCTGCCTTTGGCCCCCAGGCCCGAGGTGCCTGCACTCTTACGAGAGCAAAGAAGTGATAGCAGGCATGGCCAGTCAAGAGAAAGACCGGCAACGCTGGGTTCCTTGTCTCCTTCAGCCATTTTCCATTCCAGGCAGCCACCAACAACCACTGGTCATTGCAAGAGCCGTGCTATGTTAAAGACTGGTGCCTGAGTTTGTTTTCCTCTGCCCTCCCCATCCCCTTTTCCTTTTGTGACATCTTTTCTTTTTTTCAAGAATCATACGCCTGAGGCATAGGAACTCTCTCGTTTTTAGCAATCCTTTCCAACTGAACAGTGGGCACAAATGGTTCAGGTAAACAAGCCAGTGACTCAAAAGGATCTCAAATGATCAAGAGTCCTGCCTTTGGGAGCTGCCGGCTTTGCATTCCTGTGAGGGTGGCAGAAGGAGGTGGGGAAAGAGTGCTAAGACTACTAGGGGGGAGAGAGCACTGAGGAGAGCCAACGTACCACTTCTGCCCAGAATGGGAGCAATATCCGCTGGTCGTCAAGAATGATCAGATCTATGCCTTTATGGGAGCTGTTGGCCAAGGCAGGGCCCAGGTCTTTGGCGATGAAGTCCCGCTGGTGCTCCGCGGAGAAGCCGAGGCACTGGAAGGGGTAGAACAATATGTTCCCAGCCATGGGCTCGTTGCCTGCAGTTATGGCCCAGAAAGTCACATTGTGCTTAGCGTATTCGTCTAAGAACCTGTCAGCAGAAGCAAAGAGTGTGTTTGAGCGCGACTGGAAACAGCGGAACGGAGATGGGCAAGATTCACACAGTGCTGGAAAACACGGTCTCTGGAGAACATTATGAACCAGAAACTTGGAGCGGATTTGGTTCTCTTAGGGCACAATCCGCTGCAAGCTTAGGCAGAACTTATGGTGGAATAAAGTCCTTTAAGTTGCAGCAGCAGCAGAATTTATATCCTCCCTTTTCCCCTCCTGCACAAAACCCAGGGCACCCAACATGGTCCCACTCTAGTAAATTTTACTCTCTCAACAACCCTGTAAGGTAGACCAGCCCAAGACTGACTGGCTGAGCGGGGACTAGAAACCAGCTCTCAAGTCCCAGCCAGCACTGAAAGGACCACATTGCACTGGTTCTCAGGTTCGAGTCACTTGGGAGAGGAACGGGGGGAGTGTGGGGGATGTGGGGGCAACGAGTTGAACTCCTTAACACAGTCAACTTGCCCCTCCGCTGGTCCCAGGCAGGGAAAGTCCTGCAAGTGATGTTATTGATCCAGGCAGTAATATGACGACAACTCTAGACACCCTTACCTGATGAAATAGTTGGCCCACGTCTTGTGGTACTTGTCTCCTGGCTGCCCCTTGAGGGTCCCACGCCCCGTCATGGCCCCGTTGGTTTTCATCCACACCGGAGAGGTCCAGGGACTAGCGAAGAACGAGAGCGGCTTGGGTGCAACCTTCTGGGCTCGCTGGAGGATCGGAATCTGGCAGGGGTGGAAGAGCGCGTTAATCCTCACACCTGCGATGGGTGAGTGTGGGGTCTCTCTCCGCCCCGGGACTCACCTTCATCTTGGTGTCCTCCTCGGCCAGGCTGAAGTTTTTCAGCTCAAAGTCGTCGTCCCAGTCATCGTATGCGTACATCCTCAAGGAGAAGTCACAGCTCCCCATGGGCACACGGATCAGGGTGTACTCGATCCCTGGGAGAAAAGAGCAGCAAGAGGCATCAGGCGTGACGCATTTAATTCCTGCACACCACACAGCTGGCGCTCCCTAGCAGTTCACACGGACTTTACATTTCATTTTTTGGAATAAAACCAAACCATCCTAGCTTTATTGCACTCATACGCCACCGGTTTTCCTCTCGCAAGGAGGCTAAGGCCACTTATATAAACTCCCTCCTCCTTTTTTTATCGTTACGACAATGCTGTGAGGTAGGTCAGGCAGTTTCCAGAGCCGGAGACAGGCCCAACGTTTCGTGGCTGAAGGGGCAGCAGGGCAGAGTGAACGTGGCTCAGACGGCGACACTGAGCCAGCTGAGGGAGCTCTGGACTTCAAACAACCCTAAGAGGATGGGCTGCAGCTGCCACGGGAAATTCGCACACCCCCGGCATTTAAAGAGAGGTTTAGAAGAGGCATTCCAGGCATGGGGCAGGGCAGCGAAATGAGCTGGCATCCCTGCTTAACCACCCACTTCTTGGCACTTACCGACTTCGGAGAAGTAGGACTTGAGAAGATTTGCCTGCGCCTTCGGAGAAAGGGACAGAAGATTGAAAGCGGCCGAGTCTGTGAGGGCTCCCCCAAAGCCCTTGATTTTTTGGTACTTCTGGGAGCTCTGTAGTTTCAATGTGAGGCTTGCTAGGGTGAAGAAAGACTGCTTTGAGTAGGATAATCCATAATAATTAATAATAATAAATATATAATAAATATATAATTACAGTGCATTTATTCCCCACCTTGCATATTCAGTAATTTCAGGTTTTACTCACTGGGTAGTTTGCACATGTAGTTTTGCTACTTTCACATGTGCTAATGAGAAGAATCTCAAATGCCAAACCAGAAAATGAGACAACTGCCATTAATGCTGCAAGAACACTTGTGCTAGTCATCTCTGAAAGCTACTCCAGGAACGATCGTCCTGCCTTTCTTTTGCTCAAGAGTGGCACGACGGTGCTCCAGATCCAAAAACGTACAAACCCAGAGGGCTGTCGGCTTACCGTCATCCGGTGGGTTGCTCCGCAGCAGCCCCTCAGTGCGCTCCAGACGCTTCCCGGCTTTGCTGCTTTCATATTTGACGTAAGCGCCCAGTGGCGGGAGGGAGACGGGCTCCAAGGTGTCGCAGTAATCTGCGCTGCATTCGCACACGAGCGAGTCGTGGCCGAAATTCCGGGCTAAGCAGGGCCGGTCCCCTGGGGAGCAAAAGGAAGGACTCGTGATTGCTTTGTGCAAGAGGAAGAGGGCCAAGTCAGGCGCTTTGCTTCTGCAAAGTACGCCAGGCCTCTGAGGAGTCTGGCTATACATTCAGGTTCACGTGGCGCCCGTCTGCATAAAAGCCAGCTATGCTAGCCTCTGCCGCTCTCTGCAATGCACACATGTGCTGTGACCATATGATCTTTGCAAAAACATCCAGAAATGGTTCCTGGGATGCACTGAATTGTCATGGGAAGCAAAGAGAGCCCATTCGTGTCTTGCCCAGATCACCTCAGATACAAATAAAAGATTCAGTTCATTTGCTTAACCCAATTCAATGGGGGGGGGGGGGGGTGTCACTCTGCCTGGCAGAACTCCAAGTTTTGCTGTCTTGGAGGAAAAGTTTGAGGACATGGATACTGCTGCATGTGGAAAGCTTGCTTCCCTTCCCTGCTGCAGCTCCGTTGGGAGCTGAGTCAATCAGCTTCCCGTCCTCAGTTGGCCATGGGTGATTTTGGGTCGATCATTAATGCTTGGCCTACCTTGCAGGGTTGTTGTTAGGATTAAAAAAGGAAAGTTAGAAAAACAGAAGCTGCCTTGCAGAAGAGGAAAAATAAAATAATAAAGGAATCAGCTAAAGGAATCCTTGAAGTAGGCCAAGCTGAGCATCTGTGATTGTCCCAAAGTCAATCCAGTGAGCCTTAGGGATCACTGAGGACTGGAAACCTGCTCTACTGAAAGTAGAGGGTCCACCCTCACTTTATCTGGTCATCATGGCATTCTAATTATTTATTTAAAACTTTTCTAGACCATCCCCTACCATGGTCTCGGGACGGTTTAACAATGAGACAAAGTAAAATAAAACACAGCATTCTAATAAAATTTCCAATCCACAATAAAACCCCTAATAAAGCAATCACATCTTAAAACATTGGGAAAATAAAAAGGGTTTAGTCTGACTGCGAAAAGAATAAAGTAATGGTGCCAGGCCAACCTCTCTGGGAGCAAATTCCACAATCGGGGCACCACCGCAGAGAAGGCCCTTCTCTGGGTAGCCATCCTCCAAATCTCCTTCAGGGAGGGCTCCCAGAGAAGGGCCTCTGCCCCAGATCTTAAGGGGCGGGCAGGCACATATGAGGCATGAGATCCTTGAACGATCTTTTCAGAGAAAGATGAGTTCCTTTTGTGCCCAGGAAGGCGGTGCTTCGCCATCTCCCGGCAGGTGATCGTCTTTCTCACTCACCTGCAGCGCCGGCCGCCAGCAGGAGAAGCAGGAGGGCAACCGGGACACCAGAGCCTCGTGGCCACATGGGAACGGCCGGGAGAGCTCAGCACACGGAACTCCGCCACCTCCGAAAGTTGCCCCCGGGACCACGCCACTAAAGCAACATCAAAAAAGGGAGAAAGGAGCATTGCTTGGGTACTGTTCCGGTCTCGCTGTCAGGGCTGGCGCCAGGGTTGGGATGGTGGGGCCCCCGCTGAGGGCTCCCCTGGAACTGCACCCCTTCTTCATCCTTGCAACCTGCTCCTCGCCCTGCCCACATAATGGCGGCTGAGATGCTACAGTGCCCTTGCTCCCCGGCTCTCTGGCTGCCCCGTAAGCGAGGGGAACCCATGAGGAGGAGGAAGGAAAGGAGCTGGTGTGAAGGTAGCAAAGGGCCCAACACACGGGTGGCCATGTCCGTTCCTCGCACGAAACCAGTTTGGGCCACCAGGAAATGCCCAGATAAGCTGCAAGAGGACAGGGACTGCTGCGGGAGCCATTAATGGTTGCTTCAACCGCCGTTCGGGCTGCAGCTGAGGCTCGGGGAGGACTAGAAATTCTGGGGTGGGTGTGAGGCTGCTCAATCCACCCGGGTCTTCCCTACTTCTGCTACACCACCACTCAAGGTCTCAAGCCGGGCCAACTCACCCATCCCCTTTGCAACCCGTTCCCGATGTTCCACGTGGAAACTTTGCTCCCAGCACAGGCTGAGGAGGGACAGAGCTGCTGACGCCTCCGTGCCCCAGAGACCCCTTGCTCCACGGGGACAGCGAGACGGAGCCCCCTATTTTGGGAGTGTCCCCCAAGGGCCTCGCCGGCAAAGAGCAACGCGGGCCTTCTGTTCCACCGGCCGCCGCGCCAGTTCCAGCACGGTGACGGCAGGCTGGGACTCAGCTCACCTGCTGCAGCGCAGCTCCCGGACTCCTTCCTCTGCCGTGCAGACCTTGGTGCTGCCACCAGGAGCGTCCCGGGCTTCCTGCTGGGTCCCAGGTGCAGATGGATTTACGGAACTCTGTGGGAGGCACCTGAGCAGTCTTGCTCAGCAGGAAGGTTCACTCTGGAGGGCACACCTGCCTCTTTGGGGGCCGTCTGCAGAAATTTAATCATTCTGGCAATCGGACTAGATTTTGCAAGCTCTGTTCAAGAATAGCGGCCTCGCCCAGGATCTCTGCTCATTCCCAGGAGAAAGGAAAGTTTGTCCTGCCCCTCCCCGCGGCACGCCTGTGGTGAGAAACCCCAAGCGTGAGGCCTCTCTCTTTCTTCTCCACTGAAACTGGGGGTGCAATTGGGGCGAAAGCAAGGAGCAGGAAAGGGTGGTCCTCGTCCTCCTGGAGGAAATGTTCTTGGCTTCTTCTCTCGATATCCAGCATCTCTTTAATAAAACAAAGACGACACTGTAAGGCTCTAGTCCCTTTTACTTGGGAAGATAGAAGGGAAAGCATGGAGGCAAGGTCCTGGGCCAGAAGCCACAGTGCGGCAACTGGGAAAACCGCTGCCGCAATTGTGTTGCAGCGCAGGGCACTGCTGCCCACGACTTCAGCCCTTCCACCAGACACCCTCGCTCAGATGCTCCGAGTCCTCCCCACCCTGTGGTGTGTTTTTATTTTCTAAGGATGCATCGTATTTCTGCCACGACTGGGTTCTCCCCACCCTCCTCGGGCTTGCTGAACTGCGTGGGTGGTACCAGGTGTGTTACTGCACTCTTCAGGACTCATCATGTAAATAGATGGAATGCTGTTAACCACATGAAAGAGAACAAGGAAGGGACGTCCAGCCAAGCTCACACTCCTTAGGCCAATCTAAAGGGTGCACAGACCTGGGATGTTGCACACGATTCTGGCACCTGCCACGCCCAAGGAAAAGAATATTGTCGAGCTAGAAATGGAGGAGAAAAAGGCAACCCGAGGAGTATTCTAGTATTCAGCCCATTCTAGTATTTGGTTACTAGCAGGGTGCTGGTGGATGGGAGGTTTAGAACAGAGAAAAAGAACGGGCTACTTCATGCAGGGCAGAGTTAAACTCTGGAATTCACTGCCACAGGAAACAGGGTTGCCCATGGGGTCATGATGGGCCAGGCACAACTTTGCAACTAAACAACAACAACAACAAAGGGTAATAAAGCAAAATGCGTTAAAATGAGTCACGCCTCTATGCTAAAATATTCCAGCGGTGGAATATTATCTCCATGCCAATCTGACACAATGCATGGAATACTTTTGCAGTAATGTTTCCTTGTGCTCTGCTGATGTTAAAACATTAAAACCTTAGATGAATGTGTATGATTTGAAAGTAAGCCGATTTTGAAAAAACATTCCTAGAGTAGGTTTTTCTGCACTGCTCATCATCTCTGCCCACCCTAAACACATTCCAA